ATGTGACTTCTGAAGGTAATTGGTTGCACCAGATCTTATTTAGGGGTTTCATAGCAAAGGGGGTGAATACATATGCATGCACCACTTTTCCGGTATTTATTTTTTAGAATTTTTTGAAATAAGTTCTTTTTTTCATTTCACTTCACCAATTTGGACTATTTTGTGCATGTCCATTACATGAAATCCAAATAAAAATCAATTTAAATTACAGGTTGTAATGCAACAAAATAGAAAAAACGCCAAGGGGGATGAATACTTTGCAAGGCACTGTACTGTCATATACTCAGGTCGCATACCATACTCTTATCTATTACCTCTGAGGTATTTGTCCTATATGTCAGTAAAATGGAGCAGAAATGAAAGACACTCTGTATAGGGGGGAATTATATGCTTCACTGTAACGCAGGTGGGTTGTTGGGGATGGGGGACGGTGAAAAGAGACGTGGTTTTCACCTCGGTGTGGTCGCAGGCTGACTGTCTAAAATGCAACTGAGTGGGTGCAGCATCCGCTGCTTCTGAAGCCACGCTCTAGACTCAGTTCCAGCACAGAAGCCCTGTAGTTACATTATGACTCTGTATGTCCATTTGTGATTACATGCCTGCATGCATATACTTTTGTGGATCAATTAAAGTAACAAATAATGCTCACACAGAATTGTAAGAAAGATTTTTTTAAAAATGAAACATTTATTTACTTGAATATTTGCAGGATGGAATATACAAAATACACAGTATGTGGTACAGCTATAGCCTACTGCTTGCATAGCGTTGGCGTCCAAGAAGAAGAAAACAAACTTGTATATTTTTTAGATCTCTCACTATATATGGAAGTTGATTAGGCCCTTTATTCGGTAGGCCTACATGGAGGACAATGACTACTCTTAATTTTTATAAAATGTTAAATAAATAAAAATCACAAGAAAGTGAAATACAAGGTTTTTCTAGGACGCCGACAAACATTCATGTGCTGCACTGTCGAGGGAATTGAAATTAGTTAATTACTTGATCATTTTATGGCGGTATACAAAGAGGGAAATGGATAGTCCAACATTTGACCTTATCATGATCACAATGAGGTGGCTTACATGCAATTTACCTGAATATCAGGTATTCCTAAATCGTTTCAATAATGTAGAATATATCTACATATCTCTGTTTAGAATTATCTAAATATCTAAATATTTTTCTCTATATCTATACAACATATTTCCTTATACTATTATGGATATATTATTTCTAATCAGGTTAATATAACAAACAAGTAAGAGTATAAAGAGCTGATAGTCTGTGCATATGTGTTGAACACAAACACGCAGAGGTAACGTTCACACAGTTCTTTCATTCTTGTTCTTGAGGGCGGGCTATCAACATAATGTGTTACCTTCTGACCAAAACCCCCGTCAATAACAACAACCCTACTTACAAAAGAGAAGTAACTGAGTGAATACAAACATCCCTAATAATGTTAACTGAAGAATATTCAGCACTTTCACTTTCACCACCAAAAATGTATGTGTTCTGCAAAAGCAAAATCAATCAATATATTATAATTGTTTCCGATTTTATGATTTACCTTAGCAACAGGGCCGGATAATGCAGGGGTTTACCGGGGCTGAAACACCTGGTCCAGGCCCATGGGGGGCCCAAGAAGCAGCACATTTGTTTGTGTGTTTTTAATTTGTTTAATTATTAAGGAAATATAGACGGTGTATATTATATATGTAGCATATATTTTATACTTTTTCACTACAGACTCAGGTGCCCGCTCTCAATGAGTGTAGCTGCTGCCTGCTGCCGCTCTGCTAATCATCAGATGGGGGAGGAGAGGAGGTACGGGGCCCACGTGGGTACCCCTGTCTTGATTGGGTAATTGATTAATAAAAAAATCTAATAAAAAAATGCAGAATAAATAAATATGACTGGTCGATTGTTTGAGTCAGGGACTGGGCCCAAGCCCGTAGTGGGCCCAAGAGAAGAAAAAAAAAAAAAAGAAGAATGTTTATATATATATATCTATATATAATGTTTTATCCAACCACAGGAGCCCGCTCTCAATGTTCAAAATACACCAGCGAGCATAATTTAGCCACAGAAGATAAATAGTTTATTAAAAAAATAACTATGGATTAAGATTTATCACAAGCACATACAGATATCTGCCAAAATTAAGGAAACACCAACAAAAAGTGTCTTAAAAGGCTGTTGCTCCACCATGAGCTGCCAGAACAGCTTCAATGCGCCTTGGCACTGATTCTACAACTGGACGTAAACCATGCCAGGAAAATGTACCCCACACCATAACATTCTGTATACCTTGTATTCCGTGTTTACTCAAGTGTTTCCTTTATTTTGGCAGTTACTGGTATGCCTACAGTCAGCAAGGTCATGCGCCCCAAATACAGTGAGGGAAAAAAGTATTTGATCCCCTGCTGATTTTGTACGTTTGCCCACTGATAAAGACATGATCAGTCTATAATTTTAATGGTAGGTTTATTTGAACAGTGAGAGACAGAATAACAACAAAGCAATCCAGAAAAACGCATGTCAAAAAATGTATACATTGATTTGCCTTTTAATGAGGGAAATAAGTATTTGACCCCTCTGCAAAACATGACTTTGTACTTGGTGGCAAAACCCTTGTTGGGAATCACAGAGGTCAGATGTTTCTTCTGGTTGGCCACCAGGTTTGCACACATCTCAGGAGGGATTTTGTCCCACTCCTCTTTGCAGATCTTCTCCAAGTCATTAAGGTTTCGAGGCTGACGTTTGGCAACTCGAACCTTCAGCTCCCTCCACAGATTTTATATGGGATTAAGGTCTGGAGACTGGCTAGACCACTCCAGGACCTTAAAGTGCTTCTTCTTGAGCCACTCCTTTGTTGCCTTGGCCATGTGTTTTGGGTCATTGTCATGCTGGAATACCCATCCACGACCCATTTTCAATGCCCTGGCTGAGGGAAGGCGGTTCTCACCCAAGATTTGACGGTACATGGCCCCGTCCATCGTTCCTTTGATGCGGTGAAGTTGTCCTGTCCCCTTAGCAGAAAAACACCCCCAAAGCATAATGTTTCCACCTCCATGTTTGACGGTGGGGATGGTGTTCTTGGGGTCATAGGCAGCATTCCTCCTCCTCCAAACACGGCGAGTTGAGTTGATGCCAAAGAGCTCAATTTTGGTCTCATCTGACCACAACACTTTCACCCAGTTCTCCTCTGAATCATTCAGAGGTTCATTGGCAAACTTCAGACGGCCCTGTATATGTGCTTTCTTGAGCAGGGGGACCTTGTGGGCGCTGCAGGATTTCAGTCCTTCACGGCGTAGTGTGTTACCAATTGTTTTCTTGGTGACTATAGTCCCAGCTGCCTTTGATCATTGACAAGATCCTCCCGTGTAGTTCTGGGCTGATTCCTCACCGTTCTCATGATCATTGCAACTCCACGAGGTGAGATCTTGCATGGAGCCCCAGGCCGAGGGAGATTGACAGTTCTTTTGTGTTTCTTTCATTTGCGAATAATCGCACCAACTGTTGTCACCTTCTCACCAAGCTGCTTGGCGATGGTCTTGTAGCCCATTCCAGCCTTGTGTAGGTCTACAATCTTGTCCCTGACATCCTAGGATAGCTCTTTGGTCTTAGCCATGGTGGAGAGTTTGGAATCTGATTGATTGATTGCTTCTGTGGACAGGTGTCTTTTATACAGGTAACAAACTGAGATTAGGAGCACTCCCTTTAAGAGTGTGCTCCTAATATCAGCTCGTTACCTGTATAAAAGACACCTCGGAGCCAGAAATCTTTCTGATTGAGAGGGGGTCAAATACTTATTTCCCTCATTAAAATGCAAATACATTTATCAAATTTTTGACATGCGTTTTTCTGGATTTTTTGTTGTTGATATTCTGTCTCTCACTATTCAAATAAACCTACCATTAAAATTATAGACTGATCATGTCTTTGTCAGTGGGCAAACGTACAAAATCAGCAGGGGATCAAATACTTTTTTCCCCTCACTGTATAGGCTGCAGCTTGTTACATTGTGGCCATAGACATATAATCCATTGAAGTGTTTTGTAACCTCTTACCCTGACAATTTGACTGTTAAACTCATTGGTACACTAGCAATGGATGCCAGTTCTGACTTGAATGGGAACTGACATCTTTGGATTATATTTCAATGGTTGGCTGCAGCTGTCGGTTTGCCTTTTGCAGATTTCAAAATTAAATCTTGGGAAAAACACACCGTTTGGAAAGCAAATGCCTACTGTTGAAAAGAGAAGACTAATCTGTCTGTATAACCAATATAACTCCCAATTTGTAGCTAACAGCAGCACTGTTTTTCAAAGTAGCTTATCTTGAGATAGGCTTTTGCCACAACTAGCGCATCGGCCATCACCGTGAGTAGCCTATGGCTTCATCTTTATCATTAGGTGAGTCAGTGTGCTACTGCACATTTTATTTAGTAGCCTACTGTAGCCTATGATATATATACTGTAAATATATTGCCTCCTAATATTGTACAATCTGTGTGTCGCTTCATTGGCCTGGGCCATTGTTTGTTTGAATTCAAGACCAGATTGATCTATGTTTGTCAGTGTCAGAGTAGCCACTCATTTCGATAATTTGTGTGGTATTAAAAAATATTCATCTAATGTCTTCTGTCATGTAAATGACGTAGAATTGCATGAAATGCGCTATTAAAAGGCTAATTTTTTTCCAACCCTGTTAAAAAAAAATCCCCATGAGTGGAAATCCTAAAAACGATTCAGCTCAACTGTATTATGGCTTTAATATAAAGGGGCTTTTTCTTCTACAGTAAATTTACCACGCATCAAATTGCATCCCGGTGCAAGGATTTGTTTACAGAAAATGATGGTGTGCCGGGAAGGGGGAAGGCCCTGCTTAGCAAAATGACATGTACATTGGCCTACAATATTATTATGCCTTAAACCAATGATAATCAGCCAGCTATCTAAAAAAAAGTATCTTTATCATCAACCCCAGGCGTATTATATCATATAGATACCAAACACGTTCTCAGTGGAATAGTGTATCCGAACTTGAGTGACATTTTTCACTTTGACAAAGATGGAGTCATCGTCAAAGAAGTGGAACACCCCTCCCAGGTAGCTGTTTGATGTGGACATCATTTTCCCAGACTTGGGGTGATATCTCCTGGACTTAAGCAGTTCAATGTCCTTCCCAAGGTACCGTGGAGTAGTTTTGCAGACCGAATGTGTGAATGCACCATTGACCTCACTGAAGAAGACCTTAGAGTAGACGTAGTAGTACCCTTCCTTCTGGATGACAAGCTTACCATCTTTGTACTCCATTTCATGGAGGAGCGGTTGTGGCTGCATATCCCATACCAAGACTCCATCTCCATGGGGTGCTTGAGGTCCAGCTGGAGAACAAAAACAGGACAATATGTGGCAAAAGTTGTTGTTTTCTGTTATAAGAGCTCATTTCCATTTATTTTCATGTACTATTTCATACACCATACTATCTTATGTTCTACTACATACTTTATTTCACCCTTTTTCTGTCATGACCAATGACTGAGAAACATTAATATAAAGGGTTGTGTGTAGTTGCAATGGCTTAGTGATGATGCTCTTACCTGTCAGATGTGCAACAGGTTTTGAAGGCAACACAACAGGGTTTGGTCTTGAAGTTGGGGGAACTTCCTTCGGAATGGCCTCTTGGTCTGTTTTGGGAACAAAGTTTATGTTGATGTGATGTGCATTTTAGAAAGTGAATGATTCAGAACTTAATCAATCAAATGTGTATACTCGCAGGAGGGATACAATATATACAGTATCTTCTTCTACCAAAGATGAGTCCCTTGTCATTTTGTCACGGTGTTTGAACAAGATAAAAATATATAGTCTGGGACATACCTTGGATACTCATACGAGCTGACCCTGCCTGCATTTGAGAAAAGAGATATAATCATATTGAACACAGAGGTTTGTGGTAATACAGAACAGGCATGTGTGAGACTGTTCATTTGTTCATATTTAAGTGGTTCTTTAGGCCTTAAGCAATGTGACCTTTACATTGTATTAGATGATACGGAGGAAAGATAAACAGAACAGCTTATGGTTTTTGGTAATTAAACAAAGTAGACCACCCATCCCATACCAGACCACCCTACCCCCTGTCTTCCCCTGTCAGTACATGTGCATGCAGCGAGAGGCTAGCTCTCTCCTCTTCCCAATAAACTACTGCACCATTGCCACTAGACTGGGTTAGGGGAAATGATGTCACATAAAGCTCAACGTAACCACAAGCACCTGACCAACCAACCATTTCTGTGGAACACGGAATGCTGGCCCCTGCTCCAGCAAGGTACGTCACTGAACATTCATATTCTCTGAAATGATGCCCAATTCTGAGATACTTCTCCATCTCAACTGTTGCCAAATGTACAAATATGAATAAAACTGTTTAATGCGTATATCAAGGGGAATCCCAACTCCAACTTTGGGAAAGAAACTGCTGACCATGACAGAACTTGACTAGAATGCTGTGTTGTCATGAGACCTGTTTGTACGTAAAGCAAAATTGACACGACAAAAAACCTACATCGTGGTGAATAATGCACTGTTAACTCGGAAGTTAATATTTGTTTCTCTTCCCTATAGACATGGAAAATTATTTCACAATCATAGTCTAACAAAACAACCAATTGTAGCATGGTTCCAATACTCCAAGTGACATATCACCACACATTGCTCTATTCTGAACCAAGATACTGCCATAATACAAATGGAGTACATGAACAAAAGCTAAAAGCCAACAGTAAATTACTACTTTGTACAAAATACATTGAGATCGGGATAACCAAATATGACTTTTAAATTGTAATTATAATATATAGGACTTTATTAATTGAATGTAGTGTCTTGTGTATTTAAAGTATTGTCTTAATGTAACTGTGCATTCTGCATAAATTCAGTCTTGTCGACTGCGACTATGAAATAAATAAATACAAAATATTTCCCATATGATGATACAAATGGGTTGTACACATTTCTTGTAGAGAGAGAAAGAACACATCAATTAATGACATTGTGAAAATGTATTCACTTTCATTTTGGAGTTAAAAAAATATGTTTCTGAGAATAGTGTATAGATTGTGGGGTTGACAGCGAGACAGAGATTGGGGAAAATAAAACAGTGAGAGATGAAAGAACACAGTAGAAAGAATGCATAGTTGTTACTAGATATATGTAGTGTGAGAGAGAGCGATGTGTGACAAGAGACTCTCAGGTGTTGAGGGAGATGGAACAGAGACGGAGACGGAGACAAGGGTAGACAGCCACATCATGGTGATAATACTCACAGATCCCTGTGTGGAGTAGAGGTGGTAGATGAAGCAGGCCTCTATGGCCAAGCCACACAGAGCCAGCCCAACCAGCAGGAACAGCAGGCTCTGGGTCACACCACCCCGACCAGGAGGTCTCGGTTTGGGGGGCAGAGGTGGGTAGGCTGCATGGCTATCCACCATGAACACGGAGGGGTACGGGACACCACCCTCAGCCATAATGTCCACAAAGTTATCTATCCGATCAGAGATTATAAGGAACTGAAAAAGGATCCTCCAAGAGATAGTCAAGTTGTACCCGAGTGAGGTCCACGCACCAGGGGTCCCAGCACACAACGAGAGACACAGAGAGATTTGGTCCTAGAGTAAAAGACCAAGCACTAGTGTGGGTTGTACAGTATGACTCCTCAGGTCGTCTTGTCGGCAGACAAGACAAGACACACAGTAGTGGAAGAAATAAAAGCCACCTCCAGATATGTGAAATCTGGAAATCCTTCACAGAAACGACTACCTCCCCAAAGAGTAGTCACAGAAAGCAAAACTTGTCTTAACCAAACAAAATCTTAACAGAGAGAGAACTGTTACCTCTGGTGTTAAGTTTCAATCAGTCAGATAGAGCAAGGCAAATGCAAATGAGCATCCTATAGAGTGACCATGCACTGTGAATGATCACCTCCCCACTACAACCTCCCACACTAGCCTACTACAGCATGCATGGAGATACGCAATACGTTGTCTCTCTGTTCACACTTCCTCTCTGTTCTCACTCTCAGCCACTCTCATGACGAGTTTCTGATCTGGTAGAGATAGGTCTACTGTCTACTCTACAAGCAAAAACAATAAAATCATGATTAGACCAACATATTCATGTTCCTTTACAGTGCAGCTTCTAGTAAAAAACAACAACATATGGTTCATTGTATTGTTATTCTTGTGTTGTTAAGACTTTTCATGTTTTTTTGTTTTTTTACCACATGCATTGTCAGGACCATGCTTTGTCCGCCCGGAGATTGGAAGGTTGGGAGTTCGATCCCCGGCCAAGTCATACCAAAGACTGCAAAAATGGGTCTCTGCTTGCATCCCTGCTTGGCACTTGGAGATGAATTGGAGTTTACTTTGTCAGGAAGTTGCTAAAATGTACACAGCAGGGGTGTTCCTAATTAGCTTCAGCATGCTTGTCACACATTCAATAGAGGGAGCCATTCTCTCAAAGGGGTGTTCTAAAAGTAATTTTCAATTCTTTAACTTTTCAATCACCCACTAGTGAAAAAAATATACAACTAAACCTATATTCATATATTAACCTATATATGCTGTATGTGTGTACATGTTTTTGTATGTATGCTACTCGGTTTGCTGTGTATGCTTTTGCGTATGTGTGTTTTTATCTAGACAACTTTTATGTGATGTGTATGTTTTTATTGATTTTATGAAACCCAGGACTCCCTAGAAAACTGTGGAAATTGTTACTGAGTGTGACGAGTGTGATTAGAAGGAGTCAGGCGCAGGAGGGTAAATCACCGAATACAGAGTTTATTCCGTCGTACACAGTTGCGCTGGATAGCGACAACAAAATACAGGCACAGGGGAACAATCTACCCCGGCAATACAAGGTACGGGTAGCTCCAACAAAAATGCAGGCACAGGGGAATAATCTACCCCGGCAATACAAGGTACGAGTAGCTCCACCGAGCTACACTCAACTCACATAAAACAATCACCCACAAGGACTAGGGGGCAGAGGGAACACTTAAACACGGACTAATGAGGGAATATGAACCAGGTGTGTGTAATTGACAAGACAAGACAAATGGAATGATGAGATATGGAGCGGCAGTGGCTAGTAAGCCGGTGACCACGAACGCCGAAGCCTGCCCGAACAAGGAGGGGAGGCAGCCTCGGCGGAAGTCGTGACAGTACCCCCCCCCTTGATGCGCTGCTCCAGCAGCGCGCCGAAGACGGCCAGGAGGACGCGGAGCAGGGCGAGCCGGATGGCGACGGTGGAAATCCCGCAACAGGGAGGGATTGAGGATATCCCTCACCAGGACCCAGCACTGTTCCTCCGGACCATACCCCTCCCACTCGACGAGGTACTGAAGGCCCCCGACCCGATGCCTCGAATCCAGGATGGAACGGACAGAGTATGCCGGGGCCCCCTCGATGGCCAGAGAAGGTAGAGGGACCTCCCGCAACTCAGAGTCCTGGAGCGGACCAGCCACCACCGGCCTGAGGAGAGACACATGAAACGAGGGGTTAATACAGTAATCAGGGGGAAGTAATAACCTATAGGTGACCTCGTTGATTCTCCTCAGGACTTTGAACGGCCCCAATAACCGCGGGCTCAGCTTCTGGCAGGGCAGGTGGAGGGGCAGATTCCGGGTCGAGAGCCAGACCCGATCCCCCGGTACGAAGACCGGGGCCTCACTGTGGTGGCGGTCAGCGTTGGCCTTCTGACGACGCACAGTGCGTTGGAGGTGAACGTGGGCAGCGTCCCACGTCTCCTCCGCTCGCCAAAACCAGTCATCCACCGCAGGAGCCTCGGTCTGGCTCTGGTGCCACGGTGCCAGAACCGGTTGGTAACCTAAAACACATTGGAATGGCGTTAGGTTAGTAGAGGAGTGGCGGAGAGAGTTCTGGGCATATTCTGCCCATGGCAAGAACACCGACCACTCCCCCGGCCGGTCCTGGCAGTAGGACCACAGGAACCTACCCACATCCTGATTTACCCGTTCCACATGCCCATTAGACTCGGGGTGGAACCCAGAGGTCAGGCTGACCGAGACCCCCAGACGTTCCATGAACGCCTTCCAGACCTTGGATGTGAACTGGGGACCTCAGTCTGACACTATATCCTCTGGTACCCTGTAGTGCCGGAAGACGTGTGTAAACAGGGCCTCCGCAGTTTGCAGAGCCGTGGGGAGACCGGGCAGAGGAAGGAGGCGGCAGGCCTTGGAAAAGCGGTCCACAACGACCAGGATGGTGGTGTTACCTTGGGAGAGGGGAAGATCAGTCAAGAAATCAACACTTAGGTGAGACCATGGTAGTTGTGGAACTGGTAAAGGTTGTAACTTACCCACTGAGAGGTGCCTAGGTGCCTTACTCTGGGCGCACACAGAGCAGGAGGAGACAAACACCCTCACATCCTTAGCCAAGGTAGGCCACCAGTACTTTCCGGTCAGGCAGCGCACTGTACGACCGATACCTGGGTGACCAGAGGAGGGTGACGAGTGTGCCCAGTAGATCAGACGATCACGGATAAGAGCAGGCACGTACTACAGCCCAGCTTGACACTGAGGTGGAGATGGATCTGTGCGTAATGCCTGCTCTATATCCACGTCCATCGCCCATACTACTGGCGCCGCAATGCAGGAGGCCGGGAGTATGGGGGTGTTGTCTCTGGGCCTCTCCTCTGTGTCATACAGCCGTGACAATGCGTCTGCCTTCACGTTCTTCGTACCCGTGATGTATGACAGTGTAAAACCGAACCGGGTGAAGAACAGGGCCCACCTGGCCTGGAGAGGATTCAGCGTCCTCGCTGCCCGGATGTACTCCAGGTTACGGTGGTCCGTCCAGACGAGGAAAGGGTGTTTCACCCCTTCGAGCCAATGCCTCCACACGGTCAAGGCTCGGAAAACAGCCAACAGCTCCCGATCACCAACGTCGTAGTTCTGCTCCACCAGGCTGAGCTTCTTAGAGAAGAAGGCACAGGGGCGGAGCTTGGGTGGCATGCCCGAACGTTGAGACAGGACAGCGCCTATCCCTACCTTGGACGCATCCACCTCCACTACGAACGGTAGTGATGGATCGGGGTGGGCCAGTACCGGGGCTGAGGTGAACAGACCCCGCAGTTTGCTGAAGGCCAGGTCAGCCTCAGCAGACCAGCAGAGCCGGGGCGGCCCACCCTTCAACAGGGATGTAATGGGAGCTGCGACCTTGCCAAAGCCCCGGATAAACCTCTGATAGTAGTTAGCGAAGCCAAGGAAGCGCTGCACCTCCTTAACCGTGGTTGGAGTCGGCCAATTACGTACGGCTGAAATGCGATCTCCCTCCATCTCCACATCTGAGGTGGTAATGCGATATCCGAGGAAGGAGATGGACTGCTGGAAAAACATTAACTTCTCTGCCTTGGCATAAAGGTCATTTTCCAACAGTCGAGCCAGCACTTTGCGAACCAGGGACACATGCTCGGCGTGCGTAGCGGAATACACCAGGATGTCATCGATGTAGACCACTACACCATGACCAAGCATGTATCGAAACACCTCGTTCACAAAGGACTGGAAGACGGATGGAGCATTCATCAAACCATAGGGCATCACCAGGTATTCATAATGCCCCGTGGTTGTGCTGAATGCTGTCTTCCACTCATCCCTCTCTCGGATACGCACCAGGTTGTACACACTCCTGAGATCTAATTTGGTGAAGAAGCGTGCCCTATGCATTGACTCAATCACTGAAGGAATGAGGGGGAGAGGATAACTAAATCTTATAATCTCCTTGTTCAGTGGTCTATAATCAATGCAAGGGCGCAGACCGCCATCTTTCTTCTTCACAAAGAAGAAACTCGAGGAGGCGGGTGAAGTGGAGGGACGTATATACCCCTGGCGCAGTCCGGCCCCCACAGGCCTGGTGCGAGGAACAGGAACGGGCCGGGCCGGACTGGGCACACGCACCACTAGCTTGGTGCGAGACTCAGGCACGAGGTGTACCGGACTGGGAACTGATGTTAGAGATCTCCGACTGTACCAGTCTTTCACTCTCCGCACCCAGTCCTCCTCCTGTGAGGACTCCTCCCTGAGCCCCCACGAGTGCAGTGGTCGGGGCTCTTCACCATCGATCCCCGACCACCCTTTTAGTCCCCCCAAAAAAATTTATTGGGGCTGTCTCTCGGGCTTCTTCCTCGGCCGGCGCCTTCTGCGTTGCCGTTGCTCCTCTCTAAACCGGGCCTCCACTGTCTCCTCCCAAGGACGGCGATCCATCCCAGCCTGAATCTCCTCCCATGTCCAGGATCCCTTTCCGTCCAGGATCTCCTCCCATGTCCATGCCAATAGGCTGCCTAAGTATGATCCCCAATCAGAGACAACGAGCGACAGCTGCCTCTGATTGGGAACCACACCGGCCAACATAGATCTACACATACTAGAATGACAACATAGAAAACACACCATAGAACACCACACCCTGACTCAACATATAAGAGTCCCCTGAGTCAGGGCGTGACACTTGCTTGGTGGTGCCCCTTGCTTAGTGGTGTTGCAGACTCTGGGGCCTTTCAGAACCGGTGTATATATACTGTGATCATGTGACAGATCATGTGACACTTAGATAGCACACAGGTGGACTTTATTTAACTAATTTTATGACTTCTGAAGGTAATTGGTTGCACCAGATCTTATTTAGGGGCTTCATAGCAAAGGGGGTAAATACATATGCACACACCACTCTTTCGTTATTAATTTTGATATTCTTTTTTGCAACAAGTTATTTTTTTCATTTCACTTGACCAATTTTGACTATTTTGTGTATGTCCATTACATGTAATCCAAATAGAAATCCATTTCAATTACAGGTTGTAATGCAACAAAATAGAAAAAACGCCAAGGAGGATGAATACTTTTGCAAGGCACTGTATACGTTTATGTTTGTTTATGTTCCCTTTTTGGTGGGACATTGTTCAACAAAACAAGTGATTTTAACATGGTTTTAAGTATGAGTTGAAGTGACATATAATGCCGACATTGATAACACTTGCTTTTTATACCAACGTTTATTATCTTACTCTACTCTTAACCAGGATAATGCCATACTAAAAGGGCTTAAAGGAGCTAGAGCCAAAAATACAACAACCAAATACTACATAATGTAAAGGATAGCCATTGCACTGTCTCCAACTGATGATGATCAAAACCAAATAAATTATTCTCCAAAAGATGGCACAATTGTGATCCGCACCCTCAGGGGTCCCAGGAAGCACACATATGGAGGCAGAGAGACTTGGTTCCAAGAGTGAGGGCAGGAACTAGTGTCATGAAGGCAAAGGGTGGCTATTTTGATATGTTTCACACTTTTTTGGTTACTACATGATTCCATATGTGATATTTAATAGTTTTGATGTCTAAAAATAGTAAAAATAAAGAAAAACCCTTGAATGAGTAGGTGTGTCCAAACCTTTGACCGGTAGTGTATATATATTTTTTAAACTGAATTTATGTTCCAAAAACCTTAATATGGGACAATGTGGGTTGGTCTGGTTATACACTGGTATGGCACAGCCTTCCAGTTATTCATACGCGCTAAGTTATTGTCAACGATAGGGCTACAGTGTGCGATTTTTTCTGACAGTGGGCTAGTATAGCTTTGATATAATAGGCTATCTTGTTGGATGAGATGCCATAAAATCGACTCCCTTTCAGTTGTGCGCACAGTGGTCATAACTGATCTGAAGCTAGTTGTTCGGTGAAGTAGGCGACTTGATTCCTGCTATGACAAACTTTGATCACAAGCAATAAATAGCCTACATCTCGTGGTCGCTGACATTCTATGGAAAATGTATGTATACAGTGCGGTATGAGTGAAGCGAAGTAGGCAACTAGGCTACAAGAACATATTGTAACTTTTACAGAAGTCCAAAGTCGCTTCTAGGCTACAACTATGGGTTCCATTTTTTATCTGAGCGCTGCTGTAAGACTCTATTTGCTGTCTTGTTTCGTTGTATCTGTGGACTTCACTTTAGGCTTGGGACAAAGCCAAGATACTGAATTCACTTTTCTACTCCCTGCCGGCAGAACGGAATGTTTCTACCAAACAGCTGCGAAGAACGGAAGCCTGGAAGTAGAATACCAGGTAGCAGGCTTGGACAATTTAGTTTTCTGTGGTATTGAAAACACAGCTGACATTCTCTGTGTCATTCTCTCTCTGTGTGTTTGTTTGGTGAAATTGACAGTGCCTCTATTATAACAGTGTTATAAGTTGTATTAGTCAGTCAGTTACTGGATGCTTTATTGTTACAGCCAAAGGACTTTGCTCAGATGCAAATAATAAGATAAGGCATCTTCCTTCCATACAGGTGGAGCCTATAAGACAAAGCCAGCTTGCATAGCTGCTGGCATCAGCATGAAGGGCCAAGGCAGGGGAAGTGTTTACAAAGGGATCCACTGTGTCAGCATAAGGCCAGATACTCAAACTAACCTCTGAGCTATAGTAGCTGTAGTAGGCCTTCTTCTCCTCTTTCCTTCAGACATGTAAGGAGAAGGAGAGAGCTTACCACCAAATGTTGGCCTACTTGGTGTGTTAGTTAGTAGTCATGCACTTTGCTGCAAAATGCATATTAATTATGAAGATTGTTACAATTTATATATAGCATTTTAGTCATTTAGCAGACACGGTTGAAGAGTTAGTCAGTTGACTAGTATAAAAGGGTAAACCACTACAGGTTAAGCCCTTCATAGATTAAAGTTGAAGTGATGCGCATCATGCTACCGTATCAATGCCTACTCTATGAAACCCCAATCCTCTGGCAGACACATGACTGTGGTAGGATGTCATGTTCCTCGCCACCCAACCCGCCAAGCCGTGACACATTTCTGTGGACTTTGTGTGTGTGTGTAGTCTGTGTGGAGCCTGGCAGGCTTACTGTGGTATCCACACAGCAACAGCTGAGACACACAGGGCTGAGAGAGACGACAGCTTGAGAGAGCAAGCTGAAGGACTGTGGGGATTGAGCCGTTTTATACAGCAGTCTGTGGTGTGTGTCTGTCTGCCTGACTGTCTCTGCCTGTCTGTCTGTCCGTCTGTTACCCTCTCTCAACCAAGACCATGACACCACACTGGCAATGGTAGTGACTCATGCCTAAGGCCTAGTTTATATGGCCCAACATGCTGTGTTTCCCTCCTTATGTTTCTGCTGCCTGAGAGTGGAGTTACTTTGACATAAACAGACAGGTGCTGGGGAGTGGGTATACTGAACAGACAGGTGCTGGGGAGTGGGTATACTGGCTAGCCTCTCCTTGCTGTTGGATTGTAACTGCAGGTTGGTCCTGGTGGTTCTATTTTAGCTAATATCTACTGTGCTGTAGAGTTTGAATATGGCAATCAGAGACTGATAATGAACCATGAGCTGTGCAAACACTTGGACAAATAATATATACATTGTTGTAGTGTAGTGTTGTACACCGTATACCCACTTATTTTTCAGTGGGCATTGCATATACTCACTTCTTAATCCCCACAATGCATATCAAAGTAATGTAGTGGAGGTATACGCCATATCAATTAGTAGGGCTGATGGAACAGATCACAATGTTTAGCTTAAAACAATTATTTCTTGATAATTTAGGAGGTAGGCCTACGCACAATGGTTCCAAAATGAAATTTGAGGGAGAACACTGTTCTAAAATACATGCGAGCGGTTTCATGGACAGAGATGGAAATATCTGTTAGAAATGTAGAAAGAAGGGGGATTTAAAGATGCAACAACTATCATGGGTTGCTAATATGACTAGGATAATGCCTTTGGTTGCTAGACAATGAAAGAAGGTTGACCGAAAACCAATAGAACAGGAGAATGCATATGAGGGGGTCTTTATAAAATAATTGCCTCCACGTTTCTATGGTGGGATTTTGTCTTAAAGCTACTTTAAAGCAAGGTAAGACATGCCTCATATGAAGTAAAACGTCCAGGTTTCAAACAATTAAGGATCATGAAAAATGTAGCGATGCATAGTTGGAAAGGCTTTCCCAAAATCCTTATCAATTAAATGTTAACTAGCTACAAAGTAGCCTATGCTTACCTGGCAGAATGATATCGTGATTATTTGCATCAATCCAATGGTCATTTGTTTTGCAAACTCCATATCATGTGCTACAGAAACACAGCTAACCAAACAACAGTGCTAGGTGCCTGTGCACTTGAATTAAAGGGTAACTAAATTTTCCCCAGACCTCAAAAGTGGTATCCTGATGTCGTTTAAGCATTGTTATGGACTTAGAACATCACATTTAGTTGTTTGTCTATTAAGTGTGACTTTCAGAGCAAAAAACTGAAGAAAATTGAAACAAATTCTGACTCCGTTGACAGCCTAATTTATCTGTTTCAATAGTAGGGCCTATTAGTTTACTTGCATAGTACAGCTTGGGTTGGCCTGACTGTGAAAGACCAATATGGGATTTATCATTTTAGGTCGTTCAGAGTGTATGTCACTGTATCTCATAGAATGTTTTACAGAGGGCGCCTTTCTGTCGCCGGGCGGGCCGTTTTAGAAATGTTGGGCAATATTTTAGTATACCCACTTCTCCAGGCACCACTACAACACTGACTCTACCACCACTACAGTGTTATTGTGTCTACAGTATGTATGGACGTGGAGATGTGTGTGTAGACTTGGTGGCGTTCAGTCTGTCTATGGTGTAAGTCAGTCTATGGTGTCAGTCTGTCTATGGTGTCAGTCTGTAAAACTGGATATTCTCATAGGAACACTTTGAGTTAGATTATAATATAATTTCAACCATTCCCTCCTATTCCAGGTGATTGCAGGTGCAGGCCTGGATGTAGGCTTCACTCTGATCTCCCCTAGCGGATACAAGCTGGCCTCTGAGTTCAGGACATCTGACGGCATCCACACGTGAGTGGGCAAAACTTACTAACACAACCCTGACCTCCTCTAACCTCTCTGGAGTGGTATGAAGGTCTCACCATGCTCGAGGATGTATGATTCAAAGTCTGTGTATTTTTTGTAAGGTGATGCCAAAGACACCTTTCCATCCTCTGGCTTACGGACAGTAAAGTTCTACACTATTCTCTATGACAGTTTGAATACTGTCTGACTTGCTCTGACCCTCTCTGACGTCATGTTTTTCTTCCTCATTGGTCTGTCTCCCAGGGTGGAGCCTACAGAGGATGGAGACTACCGGCTGTGTTTTGACAACAGCTTCAGTAAGCTGTCTGAGAAGATGGTGTTCTTTGAGGTGATCGTTGAGGGCCAGACTGGGGACGCCTGGGGGGACGAAGAGTGGGCTGACATGGCCGAGCCGGAGAGCATGGTGGAGTACAAACTGGAAGACATCAGGGTGAGAAGGAAAGGAGGAATACTCTAACTCTCAGCCACTGGGACTGGTGTCTTTCTATCACTCTGTTTTTACACATCCCTTTTTTTGTCTCTTTTCATCCTTTTCGTCTGTCCTGTCTCACGTTTTTCCTCTCTTTCCTGCTGTCAATGTTCTATCTGTATTGTAAAGATGTAGATGTTTTTATCACTGGTGTGTAACACCAACAAAAATTCCTAGGAACCATTTGTTGCACAGCAATACATTCCTGTCTCCCACCTTACCCACTGTCTCTCTCCCTGCCTCTCCCTGTAGGAGACCATGGACTCAGTACACAGGCACCTGGAGCGGAGCCGTCAAGTTCAGACCATGCTGAGGGCCTTCGAGGCCCGGGACCGCTACCTACTGGAGGACAACCTGTGGAGGGTCTCCTTCTGGTCCTCCATGAGCCTCCTGGTCATCCTGACCGTGGCCGTCACACAGGTCTACACCCTCCGACGCCTCTTCGACGACAAGAAGAGGGTCTGCAAACCCTAGTGTCCAGTGTCATCTTCCACCACCCCCACACCCTTCCCAGTGGTATCTTCCACCATCCCCACACCATTCCCAGTGGTATCTTCCAGCAGACCCACACCCTTCCCTGTGATATTTTCCACCACCCCCACATCATGCCCAGTGGTATCTTCCAGCAGACTCACACCCGGCTCAATAGTATCTTCCACCACCTCCACACTCTTCCCAGTGGTATCTTCCACCACCCCCACACCCTTTCCAGTGATGTCTTCCACCACCCCCACACCCATCCCAGTGGTATCTTCCTCAAAGATGCCATAGAAGGGTGTTGGGACTAACAGGACCCTACTGTAAAATAATGGTCTCAGAGATTGAAGAAGAGAGAGACTATTGACAACAGTGATGTGTGGTAAATTAGTGACTGTTAGCAAGGTTTTAGTGATGTTTGTGTGTGATGAACTTCATTCAGCTTTTGAGTGGCAGAAAAGTGCATGTTTGTATGTGAGTCATAAACACTGTATAATGATGTTTTGACAATTTAGTGTCAATCTACGAAACAAGAAACTAATGCAATAATAGACCATGTGGTTGTATGTTTTTAACATGGGATCTTAAGAGTGACATTAAAAAGGTTATTTATTTAATGACATGGTTATAACATAACTACACCTAAACAAACACACACACAAAAACATTATACTGTGATATAAGTTAATTGTGGAGAAAGAGTAGCCTCGCAAAGCCACTGATCCCGTCAGCTTATATTAAACACTGCAGCGGTTATCAGTCTGGTAATTACGAGGCAAGAGAAAGAGGTCTTAAATGAAACAATGACTGGTCTCATAGGACGGTTTCATTGAATTACAGATACTACATTTTTATTGACATTTAAAGTGTTTGACAGAAATCTGGTGAGATGAAGCCAGGAGAATGTTGAACAGTCAACCACAAGCATGGTTGTTATATACATCTCCAACACCACAAAACAAGATACAATCATTAATTTGAAAATAGATTGTATTTATAAAACCATAAAATCTCCATGATCAATTCCTTTCAATTACAGGTAGTGCAAGTTTGAGTGTGAAAAGTGTGCGGCGAAAGAAAATAAGGCAAGCTTATTGGCTACAATAAAACAGCACTGAATTAAAGGCATATTGCAAAGTTCTGCAGCTGACAACAGTTGGATCTATTATTGACATTGTACTACATTATAATCACATTACCGGTATATGCCCCTCTTCATATAATTACCCTTACTACAGTATAAATAAAGTGTATAATAATAATATATATATGCCATTTAGAAGAGGCTTTTATCCAAAGCGACTTACAGTCATGTGCATACATGTCACATATGGGTGGCTCCAGCTGGAATCGAACCTACGACCCTTGGCGTTGCACGCGCAATGCTTTACCGACTGACCCTTGTGTAAGGCATCCATTGGAACTGGAATATAAATGGTTTGAAGTTCTCTGACTCCTGAACATGACCCTTACTATTAAAAGTTTTGTATGCTTCTGTGCTTACTCATCGGTGCTGTACCCAGCACTACCTGATTCATTCAACTGTTCCTAGCATCCTTCACCTCATCCCTTCAAATAGTCACCCTACCGTTTGGCTTTTGGGGCCCTCCTCCCAATACACTACCATAGAATATTAAGGCTTGTCATCATCCCAAATGGTGTTCCCCAACTGACACATCAAGCGATTAACTGTAGCATCGAATACAATGCAGTATGAGTGAGATCTCAAATAGTCCTATCTACAATTCCACCTACACACAATGTATTTACAATAATCTAAATAAACCAAACTTCTACACTTCAATCATTTTTATAGGAGTTTTCTACAAACGTATTCAATAGTAATTCAGACACTAATCTGTTGAGAAATGCCCATATTTTAAAACTGCACTGTACATGAAACCAAGAGGAGAGGTTGGGCCCCAGGAGATAGCTAACACAAACAATCAGTGGATTTCATTAAGAATTTGGCACATGAGCAGTCAAACTATTTTATCAGTACAAAAATAATATAATTTTCTCAATGTTTGATTAGTAAGGAAATAGTGAACAGAAGTTGAACCCGTACTGAGAATGGTGTCAGAATTCAGCCAGGCTACAGCTCACTAAAACCCCTGGAGGGGTTGGAAATGTCTGTGTAGGTGCCAGCTATTAAAGGTCCAATGCAGCTGTTTTTATCTCAATATCAAATCATTTCTGGGTAACAATTAAGTATCTACTGTGATTGGTTTCAGTTAAGAAATGTAGAATGAAACAAAAATAGCTTTTTAGCATAGAGCAATTTGTCATGCACGAATGTTGCTAGGACTGTCTGGGAGTGGTTTGAGCAGGGAGGGGAAAACTGAAAACTAGGTTTGGAAGTCTCTTTCTTATTGGTCGATTAACTAATATACAGTCTGGTGATGTCACCAGGCAGGCTAAAACTTTATCCCACCAAAACAGGCTGAAATTTCAGGCATTTTTTTCAAACCGCCCTTACACTAAAAGGGCATTATAACTATATATAAACCACAGGAAAAGCACGCTTTTGACTGCACTGGGCCTTTAACAGTTTTAACAAGATGTTGAGTGAGGGTATCAAGTTGTCTTCTTTACCACGTGACTGTTCTCTCCCAGACATATATTATTACAGCTTATGCAAAAAAAAGCAGTTAAAGGAGGCTGTTTTCCTGAAATGCCTTCAGTTATTGTAAAATGAGTACATCTTTGACAGTTGCATGGAAAAAGCTCCCTCTTGTATTTCATGTTATCAACTAAGTTATGGCTTTTAGAGTTTAACCAGCTCTGAAACCTATTATTTGGAAAATATTGAAAGTTAAGGTGTTCAAGGTTTATGATTCTTCACAGGTCCGGTTCTCTTGCTGGTATGTGGACAGTGCATCTCCAATCCCATCCTGCTTTGGGGCAAGGTCACCACTGGTTACGACGAGCAGGAGCAGGCCGCCTGTTCAGGGACAATCATAACGACAGACCAACATTAATCACACTCTCTCCCATTCAAGTATTTTTAATGCGTAATGCAGTTTGGTGATTGTGAGGGGTTTAGCAACTCACAACAGACCTTTTGAGAAAATATAGGTTTTTGTAAGGGAAGACCTAAGAACATTCATTTCCTATCATTAAGAGTTTGTGTCCATCTAATCTTCCTGCTTTCTTTAGCTGATCATTCCTCCTATTACCATAGCTGCCTGTTTTCTATAGGCAATGTGATGTATTATGGGCAGCAAGAGACAGAAATCAAATCAAGTTGAATAGACCATAAACATTTAATAGAATCAGTATAGTTGTAGACTAAAGGCCTTGTACAACCCTCCTCCACTATTATTACTAACACTACAACAGAGTACTGCGTTCTATAGTACAGTATGTGCACCTTGCATTCAGAGAAACATTATCAGGAAGGCAGAAAAAAGGAAACACTGAATAACTTATTATTCCAGGAATTCTTGTCCTTCACAACTTTCATTCCACTTTTAACTCAAGTCAAAAGGCAGGCAGCCCGTTAGCACAGAAATGAGCATAGCAACATCCACAGTAAAGGAGGGGCAAGAAGAAGAGAGCAAGATACCAGGAGAGAGACCCAGGAGTGAGGTCAACCAATGAGACAGGAGAGAGAGGGGGGACCACACAAGACACAAGGAGACACCAACCACCAGTCTCTTTATTGTACACAAAACCTCTTTATTTAGCGCTCGTGTTCCAAATTGGTTCGTTTGTTTATTCAAATCCATTAAATTGCTACAGAGGCACTTGACAATGCTTTGCAAAAACAAAAGAAAGAGATCGATGCAGGTCAGTTCCCCCCACCCATGAGATGAGAGATACAGAGTGTGGAGAGTGTGTGTGTATGTGGGGGGGGGGGGGGGCACCAATAGGGAGAAAGGCAGTCACCAACATCTTACACTTCACAGATCAGGAAATGGGGTGTAGGGGGAAAGGCTACAGTGACAGATACCGTCAGGTGACAGAGACACTTTCATAAGAACGGGAACGTGTTCAATTCCCCTACGACTCCTCAACATCAGTGACAGCATAAATGTAAGGCCAATCTCTTCCTAGTTGGGGTTCTATACTTGGTCAAGAGATTGAAACCTTTGGGAGCATGGATAGACTGCATTTCCCAGAGGCTTTAGTTGGAGTTAGCTGAGATCAGAGTCAGACACCCACTAGCAGCACTGTCACTGTAGCCAGACCTGATGGAAACATAAGGGAAGAAAAGCACATTCTGCCCAGAGAGTCTGTGGTTTTAGACAGTTCCTACCAAATTGACCCTCTACCTGTACCACATTTACTCATATAATGGATTTCTGTAAGGAGTATAAGGTATTGGGCTGAGCTCTATTTAGTTTGGATAGGTTCTCCAGGCAGGATGTGCATGTACAGCAAAAAGAGCAACAAAAGTTTAACTTCCGTCACCCGCTCACCCTCAATATTCATCATCAAATCAAAACAGAAAAACATCAAAGTAGTCCATTTGTCACTCACTCTCCGGACTCCTCTCCATCCCACCCCCAAAATACACCCAGTAAAGAATCACAGCTGTGAAGACAGACACTCTTCATTCCTATCTAAACCCTCCCAGTGGCAACAGTTATTCCAACTAGAACCCTGTAGTCTAACTCACTACCAGAAAGACTTTCAATTTCCCTTTCTAGAGGGGGAGAAGTAGGCTGAATGTGCTGTATACAGCTGAAATCATTTCTATCAAAATGACACATGACAAATGCCCAGGGTTATAAATAATGAATTAATACGATCTGGAGATCAAATCAACGTTTCCCTACATCCCAAGCTAATTCAATATAACGGCTGTGTTAGTGCTTCAATTAGTATAACGATTACTACAGAATAAAATGTTTGGTTTTCAATGAACACCATTAAACACCATTCTCCATCAGTCCTTTTTAAAAATGGAGACATCACCATCTCTGTGTGTCTGTACTGAGACTGTCCTTCAGCTATGTACAATGGTGTTTCCAAGACACCGGGAGGGTCTCTCAACCATAAAGACAAATTACCATTGAATTGTGACAGGAAGAAGTTTCGTTCCTAAACAGCCGTCTCTCCAGCTCTAACCACATAGCTCCCCTTCCCTTGCCTGTCTCCCCACCCTCTCACCCTGCTCCAGGAAACCATACTGGACTCTCCCCTTCACCTGTCCTTGTCCTGAATGGGACTTTGAATGAAGGTCCACCCGAGGTTGGTTAAGGTCTCAGTGAGGTTAACAGACTTAAGGTGCTGGGATAACTCTATACTTAAGGATGAGTGGAGAAATCATCTCTCAAAGTGCTGACAACTCTCTCTCCTCCATGTTTATTGTGCATAGTCTTAAAGTAATGACAACCTCAACGCTACCAGTGGATGTATGGATGTACACAGAAGTGCTTCAAGTGGTCAATCTAGATGACATTTTCTCAACGGTGGCAGGACATTCCAATAATAAACGGGCACATTTTATAAGGCTCCTCTCAGCCGCATGTGTTGCCCTGCACTGCTAAATTGTATTTTTATGCCTCCTTTTGCTGTGATTAGAGACTGGTTTTTAAGCTACATACCGGGGGCATTAAAACAGACAAGTCACTCAAATAAAATAAGAAGAAAGTAATCATCAACACCACCGTAGTCATAATAATAATAACTATTTTTCAGTATGAAATCAAGTTAGAAAAACCATGAAAATATGAACAGGATGAGTGTGTATATTCCACAGAGGTCTAGGGTGTAGTAGAGCGCGAGGCGAGGGCATGTCTAAAGATGTCTTTAGAGGTTTTAGACTATGCTGCAGTCCACCTTTTCAGAGAGGAAATTATTCTGTTATCACAAAAAACAGGCTGCTTAGGGGCATGTCACTTCCATGTACCCATACCCATCTGATGCCGTGAGTGCACCCTGCTGGTCAAAGGTGAGCGATTAACTCTTTATGAATCAGGTGGATATTTTTCTATGGTACAATATCCAAAACAGTGTAATTATATAATCTTCTGATTCAGAATATTCAAGTGGTTATGGTTTCTTTGCTTCTTTAGAATGTGGAGACCAGAGAGACCCCACATGTGTTGGAGACTAAGGGAGGGTTAGCAGCTTATATCAGAGAACAGTTTGAGTCAACTACATTAGATAAGCCTGGTTGAAATAGTATATATATATATCAATGTGCATAGATACTATATAGGCGCCCCCTTCTCCCCTCCTCTGTAGCCCTCCCCTCTGGCCTCAGTACACACACAGGTGAACCTGGCTGGATCTACTGGGTAGTCTAGTCTAGCAGGGAGGGCTCGGCAGGGCGGATTATGGTGGGCCGGTGTGGAGCGCCAGGGGGTCTTCGGCTGCAGGGGAGAGAGAGAGCAAGAACAGGAGGTGAGATATGCTCACGGAGAGACATGAGAGACAGAGAGAGAGAGAGAGAGAGAGAGAGAGAGAGAGTAACGAAACAAACCCAGAGAGATAGAAAGAGCAGGAGAACAGAGGAGAGATCGTGAGACGTGAATGGAGAGAAACAATCCCACAGAGAGATAGGGAGAACAGAAGAAGAAAGAGACAAAGAAAGGGAGTTGAGCGCAAAAGAGACGAGGAGTTAAGAGAAGGATTTTATGAAACAGAGAAGATAACCAAGTTCTGGAGGAGAGAGAAAGGAAGAGAAGTGTGTAAAGAAAAGGTGAAAAGGTGGAGGTAGTAATGTGAAAGGTGGGTCTGGGAGGAAACTTAAATCCATCTATTGACATCAACAGACAGTCAGAGCCAGGTGCTGCAGTTATAGTGATAACCTGGCAATTCAACAATGAATAAAGAGGGTTACACAGGTTAATATAGTGTCCATGAGGAGATATTATTCCTGTGTAAGGATAGGTAGGTAGGTACTGCTCCCTCCTGAGGGGCGGAGGTGGTCTTACCTGGGCACGCCAGGGGGGATGCGAGCAGGCCGAGAGGGGATCAGCGGGGGGGCACTGAAGGGGTCCTGATGGTTGATGGTGCCAAAGGCGTTAATGGGCGGCGGGCCCGGGCGAGAGGGGATGGGGGGCCCCCCAAACGCTGGGGAGGGGTTGAGGGGTGGTCCCGGCCTTGGGCCACTCACTGCAGGCGGACGGCTTGGGGGAGGGGCTGCTGCGACCGGGGGGCGGCGCTGGGGGGTGGGACTGGAGAGAGACGAGAACAGAGAGAAAGAGGCGTGGGGAATGGAAAAAAAACACAGACAATGAAATATACATCATTATACAAACAACTACAACAAGCTTTGGTCGACTGTACAGTCTCTCGCACATGACCCCCTTTAGTTCCGAAATGTGACAATGGATGAAGCAAAACATCTTCCATTATATGAATTTGAGGTACATTCACTCAATCCATATTTACGTCAAACTCAACAAATCCCTGTTGTGTGCGTATACACACACACACACACACACACACACACTCTCCTCTCCTCTCACCTGGCCTCCCTTCCCCTCCCCTCCTCTTACCTGTTCTCCTGCATCCAGCTGTCGTTGACGGGCGGCGGCACGGGGACAGTCACGGTGGTGGTGGTGATGTCACCGATTATGTGCAGCGCCTCCTTGAGGGCGTGGTACATGCGAAGCATCTCGTCGCGGCGCTGCGCCTGGTCAGCTGACTCCTCCATCAAGCTGTTTTGGTCACCTGATGAGTACAGGTAGGCCAGCAGCTCTGAGTGGATGAAGTCCTTAGCCTGGGGAGCAGGAGAGAGGAGAGGAAAGGTGAGGAGAGGAGAGGAGAGGACCAACGACTATGGAGAAATGGTGGTGTCCTATTCATTTCAGTAGACTCATCATATTAGTCTGCATGGAGCCATTGAAAGATGGAGTCACTGAATAGTCAATCCTCAGTGATGCTAGATGAGAGCACCTAACCTAAGCTCATCCACTAGAAAACACAAACACCCCGGCGCTTGTGGAAACACGTCAACACATAGGTACACAAAGCTGGCATGCAACCATTTCATGGAAACCCCTGCTATACGACAGAGCCTGCTAAGTATAGACTGTCTCTAGGCTTTTTTCACTCACGCTGTTGATCATGAGGTGCATGATGGTCTTGGGCATGAGGTCCCTGATGGACTTGTTGACGATGCCAATGTAGGAGTCCACCAGGTTACGGATGGTCTCCACCTGCCTCTCCAGCTGGGGATCCATGGAGAAGGTTTCTGATGGGGCTGTATCCTCAGTGTCCACCTGGGGAACACAGAGAGAGATGTTACCTCTGGATGGAGGTAGAGGAAACATGACCGATCCAAACAGGCCCTTTGAATTGAGGCCACACATACCTGTTCTCTCTGAGTGTTTGAGGTCAACACACTATAGCTAATACTACTGCATGCCATTGGGATACATTGTGGTAGATGTATGCCATTGGGAATCATACATCCAATCCCTCTGATATTAGACAACATGTACCTCATAATCTCCCTTGAATCATGAATTGGTGTGCATGAGAAAAAAGAAAAAAGCCGTATGACAATCATCAGTGATGTCATCAATAAGTATAGGTGCATGTCTATTGTTAATCAAACACAGACAAAGGCTGTCACCACAATGTGTCCGTTTGTTTTGACCTCTGCTTCTGCTAACATTCAAACTTCAAGGGTCGGTTTCCCGGACACAGATCAAGCCTAGTCCTGGACTACAAAGCCCTTTCAATGGCGAAGCTCCGTTGAGCATGTTCTTAAGTCTGTCCAGGACTAGGCTTGATCTGTGTCCGGGAAAGCGACCCAAAGACTATTTGAGTGAGTTTGGGTCCAGTACCTGGTCCTTCTCAGGGTAGACCCCAGCCCTCAGGAAGGAGGCCTTCCAACTGTCCACATCCTCCTGGGTGTCACAGGCCAGCTCAATCTGACGCAGGTCCTTATACACATTCCTGCTTGATGGATGGCAAAACACAAACAGAATCAGGGTGGGTGTAAATTCTATTTAATTTCAGTCAATTCACTAAGTAAATTTCCCTCAATGCTTCTCTGAGGATTTTGTAACATTTAAATGTCAGTTTACTTCTTGACTCCATGAATTGAAATGACACTTCTGTGGAACAGGATACACAAGGACATACATACACAACACACACATACATTTCCCTGACCTGGATTCAGTGTTGAAGACGCCAAAGACGTGTTTGGTGGACATGAAGCCTTTCTCCACATCCCTCAGCTTCAGGTTATCTAGGGGCAGCATGTACTTCTTCTCTTTCTCCTAAAACACAGAGAGAGGGGGGATCTGAACTCACAGCAATAACATCTTGAGGAGCAAATCCTTGACGGCATTAAAAAACACTAAAGTACACAAATAAGAGGAAGCCATGAAGACGGCCATTAAGAAACTATTCATGGTCAACTTTGAAAAACTGGAATACAACACTGGGCCACACTAGGCTTCTCCACCAATGAGCAGACAGAGTGGAATGCATTTCCTCTGTATGAGACTGAGACCACCAGGCTGGCAAGAAGAGAGGGAGAAAGGGAGGATGAGGGGAGAGTGGAGCAGCATGGGGGAGAGAGACGGGGGGAGGGATGCCAGCTTTGCACTGTTGAGGAGAAGCATCTGGAAGCGTTTGTCTGCACTATCACAGAGAGCCGCACAGTCCCAACAGTTACATCACTCAAAGCCCCTGCCCTCGTCACACACACACACACCCGAAACACAAATATATAACCACACACATGAAAACATACAAACACCCATGTGCTTGTGCAAACCCAAACATAGACACATGAAAGTGGCATACAACCATATAAACCAAGACAAACATACACCACCCCCGCCCCCCCAACCCGCCCCCCCACCCCCCCCAACCCGCCCCCAGTAACCCAGTACGATTTCCTGCAAATTCCAAAGTCAGATCCCTGCTGGAACATTTCAGCCCGCCTGCCACGTCAGTTTGCTTCCACCATCCTCCCTCCCTCGCTCCTTCTCTCTCTCTCATGCACTTTCTCCTTCTTTCGCTCCATTCCGCCTCAGAGGACTGGTAGAAACTGAACGGTACCAGTTGGTTTTAGGTGTAGTCAGAGTTACAGGTTTAAAGGTTTGTCTTTAGCTCTGGTCAGCGATCGGCGGCATCTTTTGAAGCTCTTTTCGTTTCGCTGGGAGAGAGAGGGGACATCTTTGCCAAAGCCTGGGCTGCTCTGAGCAAACCAATGGTAAGTTTAAAAGTAAGACTATATTTCCGAATACATCCGCTCCCTTGTGGTTTTGGTTTATTTCTTTAATATTATTTAAACTTTGTTCAACTAAAACATCATAAAATATGTATTATCGATATGCCTTTTCCATACATTTTCCAGCCTTTGAAATGACCATTTGAAATCTTGTTTTTTTGGGCTGACTGTGCAGAGTAGTGTGTAGTCACACAGAGTGGGCCAAAAACTTTGCTGTTTTGTTATGGTGCAAAAAGTACTGAAAGTAAATACAGTAACGGCTGTTTAAACTTTAAGTTGATCAAAATCTATAAAAAAGTTGTAAGCTCAACATTTCTCCATTATATCATCATACTAAATTAGTCAATAGTTATATTTGGACCTCAAAGTCTGAGTGTGGTTGCTTTCTTTATCAGAGGAATGTTTACTCTCCTTCCATCTCTCTCCCCCCCCGTCCTGTCCCTAGGGCACTGACCTGCAGCCGGAGTGACCCCGCGGGCCCTCACCCCTCCTCACCCCCCCGCCTGCCCAGTGTTCAGACTACCTGTTCATCAGGCTGCAGCTGAACAGTAGTCTGCACATTGGTTAGGCTGGGCCGGGACACACACACACAGGACACATCTAACCACCGGCCGGCAGGGGCTCTGGTGAGAGGCTCTAGCCTGATCTGATTCTCCACCATGACAATGAGAGGGAGGAGGGAGCATGCAGTGCAGATCATATATCAGCCCATTGACTGGTAGCAGAATTAAGATTATGGTTATGATAATTCATAATAATTTCTTTCTGGCAGTTTGTATTGTATTAGTATGTGTTGTATTGTACAGTATTTTATTATCCCAGTCTTAGACACTAACCTCCTCATCCTTGTACCAGGATAGTGACTCTGCGGTCAGGATGAACCAGTACTCCTTGGAGCCTCCTTTCATGATGCTGATGTTGATGGTGAGCCAGCCTTTACGGATCACCTGTTAGGGGAGAGATAAGGGTGGGAGGGTACAAGGTATACCAGGAAGATGGAGGGAAAACACATTTGTCATTAAAGTATTAATGAGTTTGCCTCCTGGAGATATTGTGATATGACTAAGTTAACTAATAAAAATATTCCCTGGGTACTAAGTGTGAGTTTTGATTTCTCCGGTCTTAGCAATATAAGCACTAAGATGTTCTACTTACTCTATATAAACTATTCTATTCTGAGTATAAAGATTTACCACTAAAACAATGTTTCTGAACCTATATCACTGATGTATATAGTAAGCATACAAAAGCATCATTCAGAAAGGAGAATTAACTGGAGTTTTACACATTTTAAAACAGGAAACCTTAATAACCTCAAAACAAACAAACAAATAAATATGGGGCATCCAGACCAAATGGGCCCCACATGGGATCAGGGATCAAAGGTCGGCGGTGGTATGTTAGGGTAAGCGGGTCAGTAAAAGCTAGCCTATACAAGGTTAGCCAAAAAGACTAGGGTTAGTGGGTTAACTGGGCAGAGGACTCAGACATACACTCCAGTGTAGGGCCTGTAGGAGGCTAAATACCTATCTAAGGAACAGGAGAAAGGGACGGGAGAGGCAAGAGGAGGAGGGCGAGAGTGTGGGAGAGGAATACAGCGATATGCAGAGACAGTGGAGACGGGTAGACTGAGCCACAGCTCACGGAGCGGACGGGTAGAGAGAGGGGGGATGAAAAAAATAAAAGGAGGATTTAAAGAAGGGAGAGGGAGGAAAAAGAGATGAGAGGCAGGGTTGAGAGGTTCTTTCTGTAGACGAGAGTTTTATTAGAGCAGAGGTCTTCAACCTTTTCATGCCCAGGGACCCCCCTCGCAGACAAACCGGCAACCCAGGGACCCCCATCATACATTAGCAAATATTATTTTCACGTCTTGTCTTATCAGGTGAATGATAATGTCAAGAAGTAGTAATGGTGATGTCTAGGAGAAGTAATAACATTTTTAAATGAATAGATTTGATAAATAGTTTTTCATTATTTTGACCTCCACACATTATAACTGGAAGAGGAAGTGTAAACTCTAACGTCGCCTATTAGCTAGAAAGCTAACTCCAAACACATTTTTGCTAAGAACAACTGTTTAGCTGGTTAAACAAAGGTTAGCCATGTGTTGCCAAAAATGTATGTCCTTGTCAAGAAAGCTTACCAGCAGCACTTGCCGCATTGGTAGCCTATTCGTGGGTGCTTTTTCAAAGCCTATATCAGATACTCCAGTGAGCGCAATTGGCTCCAATGAGTGTAATTTGCTCAATATTAGGAGTTGAGAAATAAAGTTGACATAATTAGAAAGATACTCTTATTTTCAACTGTATGTAATTCAACATTTGTTTATTCTGTTGTTGCTAGTGATATTCATAAAAACATTTAAATAAAAAGCACTTTTTATTTTTTGGGGGACCCCGTGCAGTACGTTGGACACCTAAGGGGCTGCGGACCCCCGGTTGTAGTAGGCCTTATTAGAGTACTGCTCTTATTGTTAGTGCCATTTCATAGAACCATCAGGGGCAGCAGATATCAAGCTTTGACAAGAATTCTGTCAATTTATGCCGATAAAACAGAGAACATCTCAACCTCTCTCTCCCTCTTTTTCCTGTGTCAAAATGGCTGGTGTGGGTTTAATGGGGGGGGGGGTCATTAGTAGGAAAGTGACAAAAGAAACAAGAGAGAAAGAGGCTGTAACATAGGAGTTTGTTAAATTCTCAGTTTGCCTTGGCGAGGAATTCTCTTAAACCCCTCTGAAATGAAAAAAAAAAAAGAATTAAATAAATAACCTGGCTGGCAGTCAGTGGTAAGTGTTCAAGGTGAGAGACAGAAAAGAGGAGTGTTAGGTGACAGAAAAGGGATAGTGACACGCTTTTAATGTTATGACACTTCTTACCGCACTGTCTAAAAAGAAGCCCTGACATGCAGGATAGGTCAGTGATGATGACAAAAAGAAAAGTATTTTGCCTGTTTTATCTTTAGCTGTTGACTACATCTGATTTTAAGGTTATTATCGCTATAGAAAAGTTAGGGCACTTGATGGCATAATTGCCTACATTCCTGTCAAAAGCTTCCCTACATTGTAACCACTCATAATCCAGCAAGCATTTCTAAAGTAAACACATTATTTTAGGTCTTCTCACACATCTTGTTGTACTACCAGTTGGTAAATCAAACATGGATATATTAGATGTACGGATATATAAAGATTCCAAATGATTATTAAACCCAATTTATATTACTTCAAAATCATATTTGATCAGTTATTTCATGTAAATTATAATCATTGATTGAATCCTGACACCCTCCCTCTGCCCGTCCTCCTCTAGCGCCACCCTGTGGTCCCTGATTGGAATGACAAACAGCCCCAGAAGACCTGTGACTGGGTCCCACACAGAATGGTTTGTGGACAGTTGAGCTGTGCTACTAACATATTGTTATAGTGATGATTGGAATATTGAGTTGTGAAAATATTGAGTGGAAAGTTTACATGCAACGATAAGTTAGAGAGAAAACATCAAGAGGAGATTTCAATGACACCAAAAGGATCGAAATGCGGACATCTAGTGTATGATTATTGGTGATTCATGTCTCCTCCCCCACCCCTGAGATGTTCAGGACCATTCGACGGCAAGGCAAAGTGTGGCGGTCACTAGTTACACCCCTGGACAGGGCAGCATGGGTAAGGACCAAAAGCAGGAGAACTGACGCCAGCCACTCTCACATCCTCCCAACTCTTCCATAGTCTTTCACAGGGAATCATAACATTACACTTCAGTGTGGTACAAGAACGTGATTATAAAAAAAAAAAATGTTTTTACAATTCTGCCTGTGCTTGGACAGAACTTCTAACAGGTTTGAGAGTATAAAGTTAAAATGTTAGTAATATTCTATCTACTTGTCCAATTGTAAAGACAATTGCTGTCTTGTTAAGTGAAACCAACAATTATTGAGCATAACCCGGATGTTATTGAGAAAGCCGTTACCGATTACGGGTAAAGCCGATGAGAATTACATCACTACGATAGGATTCTAATTGATCTCCGGTTTGCCATTAGTCTTGAGACTCTACTACCTTCTCCTGCTCGCCCTCTCTCAGTCCCTGTGGAGTAGAGAAGATATGACCAGAAAAAACAGCTCATCATTTTGAACAGGAGTTCTGTACAAAGGAGTAGGCTGGAACAAGTTGTCAAAACACCAATTCCCATAACCCCCCATTCTTCCTTAAGTGTCAGATGTCTGGCCTCAGTTCTCCTGCTCTGGTGACCCCTGCTGACCCCTAACAGGGTGTGGCTTAGATCTGTGGGGTACTTACCAGAATCTCACCCTGCAGGGATGGGTGGGGGGTTGGGGAGTGGTTAGGGAAAAAGATGGCAGGATAAATCATAGACAGGAGAAAAAGGGAGAAGCAAGCAAGCCATGGAGGTAGGGGAGTGGGAACATGGGTAAGGGGCAGAGTGGGGGAGAATGGGGCAGGAAACGTTTGAAATGGTAGAATGAAAGGTTTGAAGATGAGAGAAGTGGAAGGAATGAGACAACCGGAGAGATGGAGAGAGAGGTTGAGGGATAGACACAAAGATGGAAGGAGAGAAAAGATGGAGACAGCGAGAGATGGAGAGAGAGGGAGCAAGAGAACAAGAGTTACATGCGATTAGATTTCCTTCAAGTACCACACGTCGCTTATTTGATATTGGTTGCTTCATTGAGCGAGGCTGGGTCCCATGCACATTCTGAATTACAATACAAAAAGTGCTTGGGTTAGTTGAAAAACATAAAACAAAATAATTCTGTGATTAAATGTTGCTTTGCTGTTGGGGTTCATGCCTTGGTTGTGTTACAGTGCCGTGCAAATAGTGATAAAGTAATGATAGTTGTAGTAGAAACATAGCTGGTCATTTCATATGCAGGGAAGCAGGGAGGGCATGAATGACTCTCGTTGAAATACAGTGCTATAAAAGGTATTTCTATAGGATATATCTTATAAAATATGTACACTTACTAGGTTTCTAGGAACCTGAGATGTGCACTCTATAAGTGTTGAGCACAGTGAAGCTGACATAACATTTTCACATGATTTTAGGTATTTAGATATCACATTAATAAGCATATAGACTTCAAAACACTTTCAGAGCTGTTTGGATAACACAGGAAAAGAGAGGTGCCAGGTTTATAACACAGTGGACAAGGGGTTAAATTAACATCTGACTTAAGACAGGGTGGTATTTGGCCATGATTTGCAGGGGTTATCTTGAAGCTACTTATGTTTAAGTAAATAAGCGCTGTTAGGTTCTAAGTGTCAGATTAGGTTACCAATAGTTTAGTCTATTAATTGGTAGCATAGGGTCAGGGGTCAGGTATGTTACAACATGTAAATATGGTAAAGGGGGAAGTGTCAGTCTGGGGCAGCTTAATCTGGGGGTTGATCAGATTGGGAGGGCTAGGTAAGTGAGAGGGTGTGACGAGGAGGGACAGTGTACCTGGTTTGGAATGGCCCTCTTCTTGTTCTGATGTGTATTTCTCTGCTGGGCACTGTTAGAAAAAGACAGATTCAGAAGGAAAACAACACATTCAAAATAACAATCAGCATCAACAATGTTTGGGTAATAATGTGTATTGACCAATCAAATCGTTTAACAGCTATCAAACCGGTCCTATAATTCAAGTTATCAAACATAGTCGTGGGAACAGTGAGAGTGGGGTCTGGGGGAACGGGTGGGGAGGAGGAGGGAGGGTGACACTCAGACACCCCTGTGCGATTCTAGACAGCCCACCTGTTGTTGCCGTACCCTGGTGGGCTACCATCATCGTGCCTTCTGAAGTCAAGACTGGAAGTGACGCCACGAGAGACACGTTAACACCCCTACCTACCTGACCGCACAACACTTCTAATCAATCCATCAACCCATTCTCCATGCGGATGATTTGAAAGGAACCCACGCGGCATACAGAAACACAAGGGGCCTTGCTATGTTACGTAATCAGACACATACCTCAGGCAGAGGGAAAAGACCATAGAAACAGAAGTCATTATATTTCTATGGAAGAGACTTTCAACTCAGCTAGCTACATGCTGTGAACCCTACAGTAATTGCTACACTGGAGACAGTGTAGAGGGCAGAAGTCAACGCATGTCAAGCTCTGGCAGGACATCCAGTATGAGTGGCTAGGGCTGGCCTATCAGTAAGATGCAGGAACTCAGGATTCCAAAACAACACCATGTTATTATTAATAACCAATGCAGTCAACAGCTAAAAACTCCAGTCAAACTCACTCAAGTCAACCCCTTAGCACACAACAAATAAGGGTCCTTGAAAAACCAAAACAGCTCCAGTTAGTCAGGGTCAGAAAGGGAGAGAGCGCAACCTAGAATATAGCAGAGCTGAATAGAGAGAGTAATACTGATAGAAGAAGTAGTGGTAATTGTGGTTTGTAGCGACAGTGGTATCTGTGAGTGTATTTGGGGGTTGTGATAAAGTGGCCACACAGGGATTGAGGTATTGATTGTTTCAAGTCAATAGGGAATGGCACTTACTGTAGGAATAACTATCAAGCACAAGCAGTCAGACAAAAAAGCTTATGGGGCTCTACCCGATCGATCTTCAGCAGAGTTCAGTTCAGTCCATGCCCAGTTCAGCAAGTACAGTACAAATCTGACTTTGGGCAGTAGTGAGTTAGTCTGGTGCCCTAGGACTACGTCACAATCACACCTTCAGCTGGGAGCTGGAGAGCGAGCATTAGGGTGAGAGGGGTAAGGGGGAGAAGGGTGGGGTACATTAGAGTGGGGGGGGGTAGTAGGATTCATACTTGGCAAAGCCTATAAAGTCCTCGTGGTTGGTGTTGATGTAGGACAGCTCAATGTCAATCAGCAGCATCACCTAGAATGAAGACAGAGCTTCACTATGAGAATAGAGTTAATTTTACATCACATTTATTTACTCGTTGAACAGACGCAATTTACAAATCAGCGCATCAACCACCACTTATCACAATCAAGCAAGTACAGCCTTCAAAATAGCAGCTATCTGCAAAGTCAGTGCTAGTACAGAAAAGACAAGTGCAAGAAAGGCAAGTACAAACAATTGATTCAAATGGAGAAATAGAAATGTACAGTATTTTTCTTAAAATCTCCTGTTGGGAGTGTTTCTCTGTCAGTGGTCAGGGCCTGCATTAAAAAAGCATCTCAGAATAGGAGTGCTGATCTAGGATCAGGTCGCCCTGACCATATAACGTAATTCATTATGATCTAAAAGGCTGAATTGATCCTACAAGGGCATTCCTACCCCGAGACTCCTGGTAAAAACAGGCCCTAAATGCACTGACCTGGTCCTTGGTCTTGCCCTCTCTCTCTCTGACGTAGGTGGTAACAATCCTCTCGGTCTCCTCTCTCAGCCGGGGGTAAGAACCCAGCTGCAAGGTAACACAAAATACAACTGCAACACTGACCATATAGACACACAGAGAAACACTAGCATACACTAACACTCTGGCATGATTATACAGGCAGACCTACCTCCCATTCACATAGAGAAGACAGGAGATGAAGCAGATACAATGAGTGGACAAAACATTAGGAACACATGCTCTTTCCATGACAGACTGACCAGGTGAATCCAGGTGAAAACTATGATCCCTTATTGATGTCACTTGTTAAATCCACTTCAAAATCAGTGTATATGAAGGGGAGGACATAGGTTAAAGAAGGATTTTTAAGTCTTGAGACAATTGAGACATGGATTGTGTATGTGTGCCATTCAGGGGGTGAATGGGAAAGACACAATATTTAAGTTTTGAGGCTCTTCTGAGGGCAAAAGGGAGTGCAACTCAATATTAGGAAGGTGTTCTTAATGTTTTGTACACTCAAGAGTATAGGATAGGGGTAGGACATAGGTGTTCAGCAGTGAATATAGTAATCATATTGACTACCACACACACACACACCCACACAACCCTTAACGGGCATGCACACAGGATGAATGTCTGTGATCTATGGCATAAGGGCAGGGCATTCAGCCACAGCTGGGAATGACCATGATGGACACCATGAGGAGTAATGTGGTGATGATTAGTTCTAGTTGACTGGAGTCAACCTTCAAATGGCTCAATGGATAAAATGCAGAGAAACATTTAGGAAATTAGATCATTCAACGTTAACTTACAGTTGACACTATAGTTTTCCGGGTGACAGTAAACAATCATTCCGAGCTGACGGTGACTGCTGATATTATTTCATGTTAGTGAAGAACAGATCAGGAGAATGAAGAAGAGGAGGGTGAACGACAGAGTGAAGGGAGATCCTTTCTTCAGCTGAACTAATATCACAGAGGTAGAGTGACAGTGAAAGGGATGTACTGTGGTGGGTCTTTGAAATGCAATTCCCCCCTCCATCCACAAGATGGCATGGTTGTTGAGCAGCACTGTTGCTATGGCTACACCACCTGGTACAGAGCGCCAGCAGATATTTGTATTGTTTCCCTCATGTTGCTTTTCCATCTGGTTAGTCAGACAGAATAATGTCAATGGGTCAGTGCTGGGTCAGTGAGTGAGTGAAGCCTTATAGCCCTGGAGCATTGATCTGTGCTCTGATCTTCTGATAGACAGAGGTCTGGGTCTTGAGGAGGAGGGAGATGGAGGTGGAAAATCAGTCTTAATGTGCTCAAATCAAACGGTGGCACGGGTGAGGAGAGGGGCTACTGAAAGGAAGTTTTAAGATGTGCTGCTTAAAATTCGGACATGATTTGCAAGTCAATGCTCGATCGGACACGTGTGGCTTGGACAAAAGGAGGGGATGTGCGTGGTGAGGGAGGGATACACACAATCCAGGCACTGAGGATAGATGGCGTGGGGGGTGATTTCATTAGGATAGGTTGCTGATTGGAGAGCGGTGGAGGAGAGGCACGAGGGGGACAGGGATGGGCATTCAATCACAGATGAGAGGATACGCTCCGGAACACTCTCCCTCTCTTCCTTCTTTTCACCCCCTCTTTCCTGTGAGGGGTGAGTCTGCTCTTGGTTACCTTGACGGAACACTTCATGACGAGCGCGGTCAGCTCGGACACCACTAGGTCCACACATTTCAGGCTGGGCTCTTTCAGTTTGAGGATCTGCTTTTTGACTATGGCCTCAAAGGCCAGGTCAGGGGTGAACAACCCCGTTCTGAGGGGGTATGGGGGGGTGGGGGGGGGGGGCAGCAGAGAGAGAGGGGATAGACAGAGAAATAACAACAGAGGCGAGAGAGAGAAATACAGGAAAGAGAGAAATAAAAACAAGAAGATTCTTAGTTTAGTTAGTCATCTGTCAAACTAGAAATCTCGTCTTTAGAAATACAAGCAAAGCAAGAAGATAAGGACAAGCTGCAGGCTTTCACATCCTCTTCTCTTGACAGGGAAGTTCTTCTCAAACTAGGTCTACAATATAGATATGTGGGCACATATTCAACTCACAGTACCCACATAACTAACACCCTAGCTATATAAGTCCTAAGTGTGTATCAGGTCTTAGACAGATGAGACCTGCAGCTTGTCCATGTGAGACCAGTGATGCTCGGGGAATGGCCATCCCCAACCATTCTGTCTCCACGACGACGACACCACAACCGTCACAAAACTCCCAAAACACGACAGCGGCACCTGGCACACCGCTAGCTGTGGCGGGCTGAGGGGGAGTCAAACTGTCCCCATATCTGCACCATCCAGTCCTCTGGACATATACCACACCTTATCTACACTATAGAAGTATCTATAGAGTGGTTACACAGTAGACGTTCTGATTAGGGCCAGGAGTTTTTTTTTTACATGACTACATGACCTGACTGGAAAAACTCTGGGCCCTAGTTGTGCTATCTAAAGGGTCATAGAGACCATGGATGGACAGCTGTTGTGGAGCAGAGTGTGGGTCAGTGTTGTGCCCCCCTCAGCATCGCCCCCTGGTGGCCAGGCTGGGTCGGGACAGGACGGGAGTCCGGACACCAGGCTGCAGTACCTTGTTGGTGCACTGCCTGACTGTGTTGATGAGCTCCTGAATGACAAGGTCGATACATTTGATACAGGGCTCTTTCAGCTTAATGATCTGCTTTTTCACGATGGCCTCAAACGCCAGGTCGGGAGTGAACAGGCCCGTTCTGAGGACGCACAAAGACATAGACAGACGGACAGACAGAGGGGGGGAAACGGGGACGGAGTGACAGAGACGAACAGACAGGGACAAAAAAAACAGAGAGGCAGGGAGACAGACAAGTTATTGTCCAGTCAGAGAGATGACAGTTAGACAGACAGACAAGTTATTGTCCAGTCAGAGAGATGACAGTTAGACAGACAGACAAGTTATTGTCCAGTCAGAGATATGACAGTTAGACAGACAGACAAGTTATTGTCCAGTCAGAGAGATGACAGTTAGACAAGTTATTGTCCAGTCAGAGAGATGACAGTTAGACAAGTTATTGTCCAGTCAGAGAGATGACAGTTAGACAAGTTATTGTCCAGTAAGAGAGATTACAGTTAGACAAGTTATTGTCCAGTCAGAGAGATGACAAGTTATTGTCCAGTCAGAGAGATGACAGTTAGACAAAAACAGATAAAGACGAGCAGAGAAAACAGTCCAGACAATGAGAAAACAGTCCAGACAACGAGAAAAGTACATATAAAAAATTAAATGAAAAGATAAAAAACAAACAAAGAGACATTGACAGACAGAGAAGGAAAAGAGAGCAGAGCCAGAGTTATCAGCATACAAACACGAAACAGAAAAACAGTACACAAAACAGTGATTGATGTACGCACAAGGAAACAGGAAGGAAGATATTACAGACAAATAGAGGTGGGGAGGAAGGAGTGGGGGAATGGGAGAACATTTAATGGGTTTAGATTTCACATAGAACAACAACCATTTGAGTGTCTGGTAGGCAGTTCTGTGGGAGAGTGCTCTGTGGGCATTTTAGGCTCAGTGCTCTTTCAGTGATCGCTAAGCATGCTGTGTGTCAGTTTTACATGAAAGGAGGAAACAGAGAGGGTTGACAGTGAAGAGGAAAGAGCTGGTGGTGGTGTGCGTGTGTGGAGACACAGGACGTCCCCTCCTCTCCTCCACTTGCCTGACACCGTGGACATTCTTGATGGCATGACTGATCTCCCTCCTCAACTCCTTCTCATCAAACACAATCTGAGAGAGAGAAAGAAAAAAAGAAAAACTGTTAATCCATTCTGCACTCTAAAATTCACACTTCTAAACAAGTCTATCAACTGTGGTCAAAACAATCAAGCAGGCAGATTAACTTCTCTTCTATAAATGCCTAGAAATATTGTGACAGTGAGTATTGAGGCTGCGGCGCTCACCTTGACCAGCTCGAAGGGGAAGCGCTCGTGGAAGATCCGGTTGATTTTGGCACCGCCCGACAGCTCCGCTGTGTCCACCTGGTCCCCAGAACCCTCAATACGCTTCTCAAAGTCCACCCCAAACTGCTGCACCATCCTGGGGAGAAAGACAGAGAGTCAGGGTCAGAACTCTGGAGCTCCTCACTATGGTGGTGTGTGTGTGTAGGTCTGTGAGCTCGTCCTCTACTCACTGCAGCAGAGCCTTGGTCTTGCGTGTGGGGTCGTCGGGACGGAAGTTCTTGTACTCCTCCACCTCTTTCTCCAGGGAGAGCACCTGGCTCTGCAGCTTACTGCGCAGCCCAGGCAGGGTGTCCCTGATGTGGTTGGTCAGTTGCTGAGGAGAGAGAGAGGGACACGATGAGTGAGGGAGGAGAGGATGGAGGGAGGGAGACAGAAGGAGAAATGGATGGGGAAAATGAGAGAGAGAGAGAGAGAGAGAGAGAGAATGTATAGGCAAAGAAAGAGCAAGTGAGTTTCCAAGGAACATTATAGCCTGGTTTAAGATCGGTTGGTGCCGTACGTCAGAGTTGACAAAACAGAAAAAAAACTGATCTGGAACGCAGACTAGAACATCAGTGTAGAACAACAGAAAGGTGAACGTTGAGTAATCTCTCACCTGGTTGAGTTGTTTCTGCAGGTGTGGGGTGCCCATGCGCTCGGCCATGTGTCTGTAGCCCGGGTGAGACAGGAAGAACTTCCTCTCAGCAGCCAGCGCAGCGCGGATGTCCTTCCTGCCGTCTATGTCCTTCTGACTGCGGTTCACCACGCCGATATAGCCTGGAGAGAGAGCACACACTTATTACTCTGCGGTCAATGATGTGTGTGTGTGTGTGTGTGTGTGTGTGTGTATCTCCTCACCTCTACGCAACGGTAGCAGTTTGTTCTCCAGGATGTCTTTAGCATCAGTCCCTTCGTCCATCAGGTCCAGCTTTGTGATCACACCAATAGTACGCAGACCTGAAAAGAACCAAGTAGTCTTCATATTAGTCCTGACTACTGCCTGTCCACCCAGCCTTCCATTCCTCATCTCCTTTAGTTGAATATAATTGTTCAGTAGGGCAAACAATGGAAAAAATATGGAAAATAGAAATTGAGCATTTCTTATTGGACAAATCCAGGTAGTGCATCCATGTTTCAGTCTATTTGTTGCACCAAATGAACACCACCCAGAAATCAAGTGCCCATCCTCATCTTTTGGTCCTGGGAGTACCAATAGAGTACCAATAGTGTACCAGTAGTGTAACAATAGAGTACCAGTAGTGTACCAGTAGTGTACTAATAGAGTACCAGTAGAGTACCAATAGTGTACCAGTAGAGAACCATTAGAGAACCAGTAGTGTAAAAATAGAGAACCAGTAGTGTAAAAATAGAGAACCAGTAGAGTACCAATAGAGAACCAGTAGAGTACCAATAGAGAACCAGTAGAGTACCAATAGAGAACCAGTAGTGTAAAATAGGAGAACCAGTAGTGTAAAAATAGAGAACCAGTAGAGTACCAATAGAGAACCAGTAGAGTACCAATAGAGAACCAGTAGAGTACCAATAGAGAACCAGTAGTGTAAAAATAGAGAACCAGTAGTGTAAAATAGAGAACCAGTAGAGTACCAAAAAGAGACCAGTAGTACCAATAGAGAACCAGTAGAGTACCAATAGAGAACCAGTAGTGTAAAAATAGAGAACCAGTAGTGTAAAAATAGAGAACCAGTAGTGTAAAAATAGAGAACCAGTAGTGTACCAATAGAGAACCAGTAGAGTAAAAATAGAGAACCAGTAGAGTACCAATAGAGAACCAGTTGTGTAAAAATAGAGAACCAGTAGAGTACCACTAGGCTAGTCCCTTACCCTGTGGGTCCACCTCCTTGGCAATCTTGAGGGCGTCTGAGTTGGCCAGGTCCTGGTTGGCGGGGGTGACGGCCAGGATGAGGCAGCTCTCCTTGGTGATGAACTGCAGCAGCATGTCCCTGATCTGATGCTCTATGTCCAGCGGCTGGTCCCCCACTGCCACCTTAGTCATCCCCGGCAGGTCGATCAGAGTCAGGTTTAGCACTGAGGGAGAGATAGAGGGAGAGATGGAGAGAGAGGACATATGAATGTTGCCATGAAGACTGCATGATGTGTGTGTTACATTGTGAAGGTCGTATCTTTGAGAGGTTGATACATGAATGAGAGTGTTTGCTGCGCTTTTGTGTGTGCATGCATTTGTGTTTGTGTGTGCGTGAACGCATGCCTCCAACTGTTAAAATGAACAGTAAACTAGTAACTGTTGGTGAGCATTACCATTAGGGGAGTAGACTCGGAGGTTGATGGGGATGGGGGAGATGCCCTTATTGGAGCCTGTGATCCTGTCCGTCTCCGCCTCGATCTCCGCCCGGACCTCCTCAAAGTCCACAAACTTCCTCCCTTTACAGTGTAGGAACTCTGCATACTCTACAGACGAGAGAAAGAGACAGAGAGAGACAGAGGGAGAGAGACAGAGGGACAGAGACAGAGAGAGAGAGAGAGAGAGAGAGAGAGAGAGACAGAGAGAGAAAGAAAGACCGAGACACAGAGAGAGAAAGCGAGACAGAAGAGAGAGATGAAAGTCTTTACCAGGCACCAGACAGTGTTGCTGAGTGGAGGAGGCAGGTCCATGGCAGCAGCAATGAGAAGACAGACAAGGCCATGGTTGTAAGATCATTCAGACTCACCGGCTTTGTTAAAGCACAGCTGCAGGATGAGAGGTCTACGGGTGACAATGCCTGATCCTCGAGGAAGAAAATCCCTGAGAGAGAGAGAGAAAGAAAGAGATAGAGAAATGAAAGAAGAGGAAAATATATTAAATAAGTGAGGGCGAGAGAGAGAAAGGAAAGAAAGAGGAAAATAAAGAGAACAAGAAAAAGAGGGGGCAATCCCCAGACAGATAGAAAAAAAAGAGAATGTCTAATTATTATTCATTACACTCAAGGTCCATTTCCTCACATCATATCCTGTGCTAAATTGTTGAGCACGGGGAAATGTCACACTTCATGACCTGTCTGTCAACAAATTAAAAGTGACAAAGTCATTTGGTCTCATGATGCCCCTGAAGATCAATAATTTGCTCACCCACAATCGCAGCACGATTTAACAGTTGAGAGCCTCTTGATGAGAAAGCAAGCCGAGGCACATACTTTCAGTTGAATATTTCAAGTGATCATGTGTTGCAAGCTGGCTGTGTCAATATGTAAGATATCGCCTAAGATACGTTGTCCACAGTAGCCTTGATACTTGACATTGTGCTAAAGTACATTTAACACATTCGCTTATCTGACAATTAAGATCATTCATTAGTCCTACCCAGTGCAAGTTACACAATCCACATTGAACATGAATAATTTAACTTTAACCTGACAAAAACATGGGCATAGAGTGCAGAGTAGACTAGCCTGGCCATGTGTAACTGTGCAGTGTATATTATGTCTGTTTCCTTCTTAAAGTGACAGACCACCACCAGGCACCAGTCAGGACCATTCCAAACCCAACAGCCCAGCTGAGTCAGCTATCAGAGGAGAACCCATATCCCACCACCACCCACCACACCCTGCCTCCCCTCTCCCCGGGCCTCTCACGCTCTGGGCTGGGGCCCTGCTTGCCTGCCTGCTGTACCCTCTAGCCTGACTGTGCAACAGAAAACCCACTACATCTGGTGGTAATCATGCTGAACTCTGGGCCTTGGCACAGCACAGTCCGACAAGACAAACCTAACCCACATCCCTCCTCCTCTTTCTAACCTAACATCTAATGCCAAATGTAGAGAGAAGCCTGAGGGAATGGAGATGGAGTCAGTCTGCTTTAGACTGGAAGCTATATGTCACACACAGGACAGGACAATCAGGATGGAGCCATACTGTTTAATATTACAGAGGCACTCTCACACTATATACTAGACCTGTTGAACAGTGGGAACATTCTAGATGGCCTGAGTTCAGCACTAATGTTGTGTGATGCAGATAATGTAGAGTGTGTCATAGAGAGGGCCTGCCTAGCTGGGAGAGACGGAGTATAGAAAAGCTCTGGCAGGGGGAGAGAGAGAAAGGGAGAGGTGGAGAGGGGAATAGGGGAGAGAGAGGAGAGGGGAGAGGGGGAGAGAGGGAATAGGGGAGAGGGAGAGAGGGGATAAGGGAGAGAGGGAATAGGGGAGAGGGAGAGAGGGAATAGGGAGAGAGGGAATAGGGGAGAGGGGGAGAGGGAATAGGGAGAGAGGGAATAGAGGAGGGGAGAGAGAAGAGAGGGAAAGGGAGAGAGATTAGGAGAGGAAACTAGAGGAGGGAAGGAGAGAGGAGAGGAGGGAGAGGGAGAGGAGAGAGGGAAGGGAGAGAGGGATGAGTCGGAATAGGGGAAGGGTAGGAGAGAGAGGAATAGGGGACACGAGGGATGACGAGGAATAGGGACAGGCGAAGGGGAGGATAAGTAGGGAGAGAGGAATAAGCGGAAGAGAGGAATAGGGGAGAGGGAGAGAGGGAATAGGGGAGAGGGAGAGAGGGAATAGGGGAGAGGGATAAGGGAGAGAGGGAATAGGGGAGAGGGAGAGAGGGAATAGGGAGAGGGAGAGAGGGAATGGGGAGACGGAAATAGGAGAAGGGAAATAGAGGAGAGGGATGAGAGGAATGGAGGCGAGCAGGGATAGGGAGAGGACGAGACGAGAGGGAATGGGGATAGGGAGATGGAGAAAGAGGGAAAGGGAGAGCAAGAGATGAACTAGCCTAACTGGACACAGAGAGCAGACTGAGGACGTGTTGAGGGAGGGAGCTGAGGAGCAGAGGGCTGACCTCTCCAAGTGTTAATGTATTACACTAGTTACATCACTACCACTCTCACTGGACCTGTCATCCTCTCCCATCACACACACACACTTCATCAGTTCAACTGGACAAAGACGGGGACACACAGCGACATAATCACATTATCACACAGATAGTCAGAACGAAATACTTCTGTGAGCACATGCACCTCGTGCACAGAGGAAAGAAATGACGTAACACACACACACAACATATCCACAGAGACACACGGCCATAAAAAGCCCCCAATAGAAGGGAAGAGAGGACATGTGGGTGCGTGTCCATTATTGATGTGCTGTAAATGATAGAGGAGCTGAACAGATTGTGTATCATTCTATGCATTATGGATAGGCCAGGCAAAGACCAGCAGTCTCGGAGCCTCCCTCCTTTAATGCCACTGAACATAAGAGAGATAGAAAGAGAGAGAGAGGGGTCAGACAGAGTCAACATTGAACACTCCCCTGCCTCTGATCTGCCTCTCACTACCAGGAATTCCACTGCGATCAGGGTTGGGGTGAATTCCACCTAAATTCAAGATCAGGGTTCAAATAGGATCCCTATGGAATAAATCTACAGACAGAAATGGAATTGAACCCAACTTCAACCAACCCTGACTGTTATACTGAGGTTGGAAGCAGCCCGGCATGTTCTGGTTCAGAGTAGTAAACTGGATGACAGTGGTAGACTGTGTGTGACTGTGTGACTAGCCTATGTAATAGGCTCAGCTGTGCAGTAGACTACTAGACTGTGTGTTGTAGACTGTGTCCCTGGATGACTGTGTAGTAGACTGTGTTCTAGACTGTGTCCCTGGATGACTGTGTAGTAGACTGTGTTCTAGACTGTGTCCCTGGATGACTGTGTAGTAGACTGTAGGGTTGGGCGGTATCCAGATTTTCATACTGTCATACCCTTCATGTACCTTACCAGGGTATACAGTATTACCGGAAGTGCACACAAGAGGCGCTATTTCAAAATTATTTATATTTTATTTATATTTTTCCCGGGGACGATAAAAAATGTGTCTGGGACCGTTCAAAACAGATAGACAGTAGCGGGACGATAGGCCAGAAAAATATAAAATGCGTACAAATGTGGTTCCATACTAAAATGTTTAAACACAAAGCCAAAAGGTTTTTCAATTAATAAATTATAATTATTAATAATGTAATGGATGTTTGTCTGTTTTCATTAAGATGCAAAAAGGTTTTTTCTTAAATTCAGTTTCTGTAATATAGACTGTCTTTATTAGTCTCAGAAATACACCAATTACTTTAAAAGCACTGCAAATGACCTAGACCCATGTTGGCATAACAAAACATTTTTTAAAAAATACTAGTATTTTACTTTTGGGACGGTTCAACTACAATTTGGAACAGCTGGAATTGCATTTCGGGACAGTACAGGGACGGTGAGGAAAAACGTTAGTCTGAAGCCCTGAGTAGACTATGTACCTGGATGACTGTGTAGTAGACTGTGTACCTGGATGACTGTGTAGTAGACTGTGTACCTGGATGACTGTGTAGTAGACTGTGTACCTGGATGACTGTGTAGTAGACTGTGTACCTGGATGACTGTGTAGTAGACTGTGTACCTGGATGACTGTGTAGTAGACTGTGTACCTGGAAGACTGTGTAGTAGACTGTGTACCTGGAAGACTGTGTAGTAGACTGTGTACCTGGAAGACTGTGTAGTAGACTGTGTACCTGGAAGACTGTAGTAGACTGTGTAGTAGACTGTGTACCTGGAAGACTGTGTAGTAGACTGTGTAGTAGACTGTGTACCTGGAAGACTGTGTAGTAGACTGTTTCTGGATGACGGTGTAGTAGACTGTGTCTCTGGATGACTGTGTAGTAGACTGTGGTAGACTGTGTAGTAGACTGTCTCTAGATGACTGTAGTAGACTGTCTCTAGATGACTGTGTAGTACTGTGTGTAGTAGACTGTGTAGTAGACTGTGTGTAGTAGACTGTGTATAGTAAACTGTGTCTCTGGATGAATGTGTAGTAGACTGTCTATGGATGACTGTGTAGTAGACTGTGTCTATGGATGACTGTGTAGTAGACTGTGTCTATGGATGACTGTGTAGTAGACTGTGTCTATGGATGACTGTGTAGTAGACTGTGTTATGGATGACTGTGTAGTAGACTGTGTCTATGGATGACTGTGTAGTAGACTGTGTCTATGGATGACTGTGTAGTAGACTGTGTCTATGGATGACTGTGTAGTAGACTGTGTCTCTGGATGACTGTGTAGTAGACTGTGTCTCTGGATGACTGTGTAGTAGACTGTGGTAGAATGTGTAGTGTAGACTGTCTCTAGATGACTGTGTAGTAGACTATGTCTCTGGATGACTGTGTAGTAGACTGTGTCTCTGGATGACAGTGTAGTAGACTGTGTCTCTGGATGACGGTGTAGTAGACTGTCTCTGGATGACAGTGTAGTAGACTGTGTCTCTGGATGACGGTGTAGTAGAATGTGTAGTAGACTGTCTATGGATGACTGTGTAGTAGACTGTGTCTCTGGATGACTGTGTAGTAGACTGTGTCTCTGGATGACTGTGTAGTAGACTGTCTATGGATGACTGTCTCTGGATGACGGTGTAGTAGAATGTGTCTCTGGATGACTGTGTAGTAGACTGTGGTAGAATGTGTAGTAGACTGTCTCTAGATGACTGTGTAGTAGACTATGTCTCTGGATGACTGTGTAGTAGACTGTGTCTCTGGATGACAGTGTAGTAGACTGTGTCTCTGGATGACAGTGTAGTAGACTGTCTATGGATGACTGTGTAGTAGACTGTCTCTGGATGACTGTGTAGTAGACTATAGTAGACTGTGTCTCTGGACGACAGTGTAGTAGACTGTGTCTCTGGATGACTGTGTAGTAGACTGTGGTAGAATGTGTAGTAGACTGTCTCTGGATGACAGTGTAGTAGACTGTGTCTCTGGATGACGGTGTAGTAGAA